CCCTGGGTCTGAGCAGATGCCTCCCCACTAGGAGACTCAGAGAAGGAGAGGACCAGCCAGGGCTGGTGGTGGAGCCAGAGGGGGCTCCCTGAAAGAGGGGCACTTCTATTAGGCCTTCAAAGGCGGGCATGATGAGGACAAGAGTCCCTGGGGGATGCACAGGCTGGGGTTGGCAGTTCAAGTCCACCCCACGCCTGGCTATCTCGTTCCAGAAAACCCGCCACTGGAAACTGTCAGGTGCACTTCTAGCCTGGCTCACATGGCCTTGCTGAGTCGGGACTGATTGGACAGCAATGGCTGGTGGTTGGACGAGGGGAGACGATGATCCATGGGGACCCAGGTGGTCATGGCTGTAGCAAGAATCATGTGCCGGGCCTTGGGCATGTCTCTAGCCTCAGTTTCCTCCTCTGTAGCTGGGGGAGCTGAATGAGGACAGCTCTCATAAGGTTGCAGTGGGCTGAGGGAGGCTGCACTAGTGGGGAGTGGAGAGTCGCCCTTGGCTTGGTTCCACAGGACCCTGAAGCTTATAAATATCGAGGGCTCTTTTTGAGAAAAGTAACATGAAAGTGTAAATACAATTGATTGTGGTGCTGCTTGCACAAATCTTCACAAGTGACAAAATTGCATAGAACTACACACACATACATACATACACACATACAGATACACATACACTTACACATACACACACCCCTAAAACTGGTGCAACCTGCATAAGATCGATGAGTGGAGTCCACAGTTCCGATAGTGCACTTTTGTTATGTAAGATGTACCGCTGGACAAAACTAGGTAAAGGGCACACGCAATTTCTCCATATGTCCCCCCCACCTTTTTGCAACTTCTTGTGCAGCTATAGTTATTTCAAAATAAATTGTTGAAAACTACTGTAAATATAAAATTAGGCAAAGGGCTGTGGAGAGGCCAGTTCAGGAAAAGGGACCTGAAATTCAAACTTCCAGGAAACCTGCTTCGAAGAACATGTGAGTCCAGATGCACAAAATGATAGTGTTTGGATTTCTGACTGCTGGGCTCCAATTAGAAATGATTTTAAAGACAAACATTGTTCAGGCCAAACAGAAGGGATCTGCAGGCCACATGTCCCTGGTTAGCGGACAGCACTCCAAAGGCCCTCTGCAGTCTAGTCCTGCCCCCCCCCCATGGGTACGGAAACCGAGGCCAAGAGACAGGGCACTGCCTCAACCAAGGTCGCAGGACACATCTGTGGGAGTCCCTCCCTCCCGCAGTCCCACTCCACCCACAGGGATTCCTGGGAGAGGCTCCCTCTGGAGGCGAGAGCTCCCCAAGTGCAAGCACTGATGGGGACCCCCCCCCAGGAGTGGCCCAGGCCCATCCCCCCCTGACCATCTGCTCTCTTCCCAGGAATCCCGGCTACTCCGGGGACACGAGGACCAAAGGGCCAGAAAGGAGAACCTGGCACACCAGGCCATCCAGGGAAGAATGGTCCCACGGGGCCCTCCGGGGCCCCAGGGGTCCCAGGCACTGCAGGCCCCCCTGGAGAGCCAGGTGTGGAGGGCAGGTACAAGCAGAAGCACCAATCTGTGTTCACGGTGACTCGGCAGACTGTCCAGTTCCCAGAGCCCAACAGCTTGGTCAAGTTCAACGTGGCCGTCACCAACCCGCAGGGGGATTATGACACCAACACCGGCAAGTTCACCTGCAAAGTCCCCGGGCTCTACTACTTTGTCTATCACACGTCGCAGACGGCCAACCTGTGCGTGCACCTGTACTTCAGAGGCACCAAGGTGACCACCTTCTGCGACCACATGTCCAACAGCAAGCAGGTCAGCTCGGGCGGCGTGCTCTTGCGGATGCAGGTGGGCGACCAGGTGTGGCTGGCCGTCAACGACTATAACGGCATGGTGGGCACCGAGGGCTCCGACAGCGTCTTCTCCGGCTTCCTGCTCTTTCCTGACTAGGTTTCCCGTGGGCATCAGCCCTGCTAAAGGGCCCCTCCCCCAGGAAGCCTGCCCTGCTGCCCCACCCCGTGCGTTCTCTCCCTTCCTCTGAGCACCTCCAGGAGTCACTGCTTGGCCTGTTCTTTGACCTACCTCCTGGTGATGTCATCTCCACCCCGCTTGGGGGAGGAGGGAAATACATCAATAAATGATTGACCTCTTGAGTGGGCCTGGCTCAGACTCCTTTCTGTCAACCCCTTGCTGCTGCTGGTCTTGTCGTCAGCCTGCACCTGCCCCGGCCGCCCCGGCCTCTAGACTCAGGCAGGCATGTCGCTGGGGCCCGGCGGAAGGGTGGCTGCAGTGGAAAGGCATTCAGCAGCATCTGGCCTGCGGGGAGAAGGATGCCTGAGCGGCCACAAGAAGTCCCCGCAGGCTGCCTGCTGTCACCTGGTGGCGTGGAAGGCACTGCTGTCCTTTCAGCCACCTGTGCTCCCTGGTAAAGGAGCGTGTGGTGGAATGTCTGGGCCTGGAATGTTTAGGAGCAAACAAACCTTAGCAGTGTAGTGGTTACACCTTGGGCTGCTAACCACAAGGTCAGCAGTTCAAACACACCAGTAGCTCCTTGGGAGAAAGAGGAGCCTTTCCATTCTCATAAAGAAGAAGTCTTGGAAGGGTTGCTATGAGTCAGCATCAACTTGATGACAGCGAGCTTTGTTTGGTTTGGGGTACAAACAGTCAATGGGCTCACTGCTATCCAAGAGGTGATGGTTCGAGTCCACCCCAATGAATCTAGGAAGAAAGGCCTGGAGGTCTATCTCAGGAAATCAGTCCCTGAGTCCCCAGTGGAGCACAGTTCTACTCTGACATGTACGTGTTTGGCTGTTACAGAAAGGGTTTGGACTCAGGGAAGCCCAGTGCAGGCAACGATTCAATGTGCCAAGAATTGGTGCCAAGTGAATGGGGCGAATTGATGAATGACTGAATGCAGCATACATGGATAAGCGAATAAAAATCATCACCATCATTTTTTTTAAAACCACCTCACTGCCACCGAGTTGAAGCCGACTCGTAGCGAGTGTTTATTATGCACCAGGCGGGATGCTGGGTGAACATGTATTAACCCATTGAACATTGGCAGCCATCCTCTGAGATGGGGATGAGTGGGTGCGGGAAAGCAGGAGAATCTTCTCCTGGGAAGTCACACATACACACACACACACATACACACACACACACACACACACACACACACTCCCCTGAGTAACCCAGAGCCTCTGGAGCCTCCAGGAAGAATCTTCTCCTGGGAAGTCTCTCACACACACACACACTCCCCTGAGCCTCTGGAGCCCCCAGGAAGGCCACACACACACACACACACACACACACACACTCCCCTGAGTAACCCAGAGCCTCTGGAGCCCCCAGGAAGGCCATCAACATTGCCTGAGAGCTTCCAAACTTGGGCCAGTCACTCAGAGGCACCGATGGAATTGGCAGTTCAGGTGGAACAAGAAGATGACCCCCTGAGGGGGATGTCAGAGCCCAGTGGGGACCCGGCTCATTTACACCACAGAGAACCCTGCTGGGATTCCAGCAGGGCTTCAAACCGGTTCATTCTGATTCCCACATCCAGGGAATCAGAACAGCAGCTTAACAAGACCCCCTGGTGATTCGTATGTCTACACATCCACCTATGAGCTGTAAGACCGCCTGAGGAGCCTTTGAAAATGTAGATTTGGACTCGGTATATCTGGGGTGGGGATGCACATCTCAGCAGGCAGCCGACCCAGAATGAGCCAGTTGGAAGCTTGGGTCCCATTCCAGGAGACCCCCAGCAGCTCCAGAGAGAACACCTAGGGGGCGCTCACGGGAGTGGCTTAAGCTGCAGTCGTCCATGCCCTCTCACGTCATTGTTTCTCAAAGGGACCATTTTCCTTTCAACCTAGGGAACTGGGCCCCTGGACCCAGCTACACAAATCCTCCAGCCACCTGGTTGACACTCACTCCACTTTCAGCTCCAAGATCACCTCCTCCAGGAAGCCTTCCCCGATTCCCCACTTTGTGGCCTCCAGTGCCCTCCAGACTAGGATCACAAACTCACGATACTTTAGAACCTGAGACCTGAGTTGCCAAGCCTGATGCTGCAGCCAAGTTCCCCGTGGACTGGCTTAAACACCCTCAAGAGCCCAGTCTATTGGCTAAGGGGAGACGGGGCAGTGGGAGAAAGGAAGTCTGACACTCAGCGCCCACCTTCCGGACACCTGTTGAGTGCAGGTCTACCTTGCCCCAATCCCCCACCCCCTGAGGCCCGTGAGTCTCTTTGAGGCTGGGACCACTTCTGAAACAGGTGTCCCCGGCACACAGCTGTGTGTTCGATGGGGAGGAAGGAGAGAGACCAGGAGAGAGGCTGAGGCCCCTAGAGAGAGTAAGGAAGCTGGGACAGGTCCTCCACCAGCCAGGCAGCAAATGGTACATCTTTCTTCTCGTTTCTCCTTTGTTTACAAAATCAATACGCCATTTATGTAGGCCACGGTGTCAGATCAGAAACCGGTGCTGTGGAAGCGACGATTTTTGTGCCGTTTTTATTTTCTGTAATTGTTTCCGTGTTGTTCTCCCAGAGCCAGAAGAGACAGGGCCTTTGAACACGCCAATCTGTCCTCCGTGCAGAGGGGAGTCTGGAGAGTTTCTAGGGGTGGGGAGCAGGTAGAGGGAGTGGAGGGGGCTTGGCAGGAACCAGGCCAGACACCCCGAGCTACAAGAAACCGCAGTCAGACCACAGGGAACTCCGGGTTTGGGCGGCTTCCTTCTCCATATGGTGCTGGAACCAGCAGCCTCTCTCCATCGAAGATGCAAGTCAGGGTTGTAGGGGTACAGAGACAGCTGACTCCCATTTAGGGGTTCTGGCCTAGAGACCTCTCAGTTTCTGACCCCAAAGTCCTGGCCTCCCCTCACCTAGGCCTGCCTCCATTGGCCCAGACTCCCAAGAACTTTGTTCCCAAGACATTCTCCGGGCACAAATAACATGGTTCTCAGGTCTACATAGGCACCTACTGACATCTGGGCATGAAGCTGGGCCCTGGACTCTCACAACAACCCCTGATTTGCATATGGGGAAACTGAGGCAATAAGCGTGCCTGAGGCCACACAGCTGAATGAGGCCGCGTGGCATTCACGCTCAGCCAGCGCTGATGGCAAAGCACACAGCCTTCACCCGCTTCCCGCTGCTTCCTAAGCCTGCGGAGGACGCAGACAATTCAGAGCGTCACACGGGGCCAGAGGGCTGGTGGCTTGAGCCTGATCGGAGACACCTTGGACGACAGGCCTGGAGATGTGCTTCCAAAGGCCACGGACTTGAAAGCCAGCCGTTTACTCTGCCCCCATGGGCTCACCGTAGTCGGAACCAGCTGCACAGCAACTAACACAAGCCCTGCTGCCTCCAGGGCTTCATCTCTCCGCTCCCAGCCCCACCTTCCAGCTGCCCTGCCCCTGGGCCTCAGCCTCCAGGAAGGGAGAGGCCAGGCCCAGGCGGCCTCCAAATCTCTCAGACGACTCCTGGGACCCCTGCCCGGGTCTGCCATCCTCCCCTGATGCCACCGCCAGGTCCCTTTGGGTCTACCATTTGGTGTCTTCGTCCTGAGACCCTGGGGTTTGATCAGTCTGGTTTCCCTTCCCTACCACCCACTGCAGCCAACAGGGAGGGCCCATCGGTCAGCACCAGCGCATCGATGTTCTCTCTCGGCACGGATGTCAGGGGGGCCTGCGCTGGGACAGCTGTCCCTCCGATGCCGGCACAGGAAGGGGCTGACGCCTGGGTGCCGGGCGCCCAGGAGCTCTGCTCTCCAAGAAGTGGGACCTTCAGCTGCCACCTCCTTTTTTTTCCCTAAATCATTTTATTAGGGCTCATACAACTCTTATCACAATCCACACATCCATCCATTGTGTCAAGCACATTTATACATTTGTTGCCATCATCATTCTCAAAA